CCTTTTCCCTGCCCTTAAAGCGCCATATCTCCTTTTTCTTCCCAAATCAATCCACCAATCCACCAATCAATCACTCAATCAATCACTCAATCAATTAATCAATTAATCAATCAATTAATCAATCAATCAATCAATCCACCAATCACACATTACCACTAAATCAATCGTTCATACAATAAAAATAGACGAAAGAGAACCGAAACAAGCGAACTGATTGGGCGGAGGATCAAAGCTACGAAAATCAGAAAATCGATGAATCCACCATCGTGAAAGAAATTAGGTAAGTAAATCAGAAAATTGTAAAAAAACGAAGAAAAAAAAACAAACGGAATGGGCGAACGATCGAAGCTCCCTCCCCACCTCTCTGCTCCGCCCTTCGAGACCTGCCCCCACCTTCCCCCGACCTTCCCTACCTTCCCTCGACCTTCCCACCCTTCCAAAGCCGTGAGAAATCTCTCTCTCTCTCTCTCTCTCTCTCTCTCTCTCTCTCTCTCTCTCTCTCTGTGTGTGTGTGTGTGTGGGAGAACAGAAAGAACTCGAAGAGAACAGAACAATACCACGCAAAAAAGACAGCTATGGTGAGAATCGAACCCTCTCCCCTCCCCCCCTTTCCCCTGCCCTTCCCCGACCTCCGCCCGCCTTTCCCCTGCTCTTCCCCCGCCGTGGCGCACATTTCATTCCCTGTTTGTTTCCCAATTCAATCCACCAATCTATACCAATCAATCAATCAGTCAATCAGCAATTCATCAATCCATCAACCAATCAATCACCACGCAATATCGATCAATCAATCTTTAAATCATACAATGAAGACTAAAACAAAGAGAGACGAGGAAAAAAACACAGAGCAACCTGATTGGCGAGAGGATCAAAGTAAAGAAAATCAGGCAATCAACCAATCTATCAATCATCAAGATTTGAAAAGATAATCAGAAAACTTTAGACAAGCAAAAAAAAGAGAATGAGGGGAAGGGATTCAAAGCTCCCTCCCCATCTTTCTGCTCCGCCTTTCGCTGCCTTCCCCTTACCGTCCCACCCTTCCAAACCCGTGATCTCTCTCTCTCTCTCTCTCTCTCTCTCCCCCCATATATATCGTCAAACAGAGCTGCGTCTCTCTCTCTCTCTCTCTCTCTCTCTCCCCCCATATATATCGTCAAACAGAGCTGCCCCGTAAACCGTAGGCAGAGAGGGAGGGAGAAGAGGACAACAAACGAGGGACTGTGACAAACTGTTTCGTCGGTGTTTCATATATCGTCACAAAGTTATCAGAGTGCAAAGCGAAAAAAACAGAAAGAAAACAAATACAAATTCTCATTTTTTTAATCTTCTTCCTTACAACTCCCCCCCCCTTTTCAGAACCTCTTGCGTACAACGCCGCCCATGTGGATGTAGGTTGAGCGGCGGCTGCCCCCACCTCCGTGTGCCATATCGACCCACTCGCACACAGCCAAAGGCCAAAGAGGCAAAGAAAAGAGGAAGGAAAGCCGAACACAACAAAACAGGGGGGAAAACAAATCCTCAATGACGAGTCCCACATGCAAGCACCGCCCCCACGTCACAGGCCAAACGACGGGACAACACCAACCAGGATATCAAAACACCTTTATATGTCGTCACAAAGATATCACAGCGCAAAAGCGAAAAGAAACAAAAGGAAACAAGACAGACATCAATTCGTTTTTCATATATATTGTCACACTCCGAATCAGAGCGCGAAGGCGAAAAGAAGCAAAACAAGGAAAGGAAAAGGAGCTTTCCCCACCTGTTCATCACCTCATACGTACAAGGCCGGCCACGTGGATGATGATGGTTGAGGCCGGCCACGTGGATGATGATGGTTGAGCACTGGCTGCTGCCCCCATCCCCGCCCGTGTGTCACAAGGACCCACTTGCACGCAGCCACAAGGCAAAGAGGTAAAGACAAGGAGGAAACCAGACCTCACAGAGGCAAGAGAAAGAGAAAGGGATCCAATCAAAGAAAAGACAAAGAAAGAAAGCAAATGACACATCCCACAGAAACCATTTGCCACTGTCACTACAAAGTTCAACATATTCATATATATTGTCACACTGTATACATATATATATCGTCACTAAGATATCAGAGCGAAAAGCGAAAAAGGCATAAGGAAAACTTACAACTCCCCCTGTTCAGAACCCCTTGCGTACAAGGCCGCCCACGTGGATGTAGGTTGAGCGGCGGCTTCCCCCACCCCCGTGTGTCATATCGACCCACTTCCACACAGCCGAAAGGCAAAGAGGCAAAGAAAGAGGAAGGGAACAGCCGAATATAACAAAGCAGGGAAACAAACATAAACAGATCCGAGATTTCACTGTGAATCGGAGCGCAAAGGCGGAAAAAGACAAAACAAAAGTATATATAGATCGTCACAAAGTAATCAGAGAGCAAAAGCGAAAAAAAAAAGCAATTGAAAAGTATTGCATTGAAGGAAACAAAAATATATAGATATATCGTCACAAACAGTCAAACATATATATCTGTCTCTTATACACATCTAGATGTGTATAAGAGACAGGCGATGACCCGGGCAATCATAGACTGGACACCAG